GAACCTTTACAATATTTTAGAAGACTGGCATATTTCAGAAGACAAGGTTCTAATGCAACAAATTCCATAGAAAATCTAAAAATCAAAGAAGAAATGCAATGGGAAGATTCACACAATTCTATGGATCTATCCTCAGTTGATTTGCATAAATTTCATTCAGTAAAACAGTGGAAATCAGTACATAATCTTATCCAATCTATAGGCTTTAGAGATATAGATGATACAAATATTCTTTCTGGTGATGATGTGGCTAAGACTTTTGAGCAATCATGGGAAAAAATTGTTAAAATTCGAGAAGATGCATTATTGCTCTTTAACTTTAAGACCAGAGCTAAAGGAATACCTGACCTTAATGCTACAATAAAATTTATTAATGCAATACTAGGTAATTGGTACGGTTATACTATCAGGAGTGGATGAAGAAAAGAGGGACCAAAAGATCAAAGGATATGGAAAAGTACTTATTGGATTCATCGTGTGCCACCTAGTGGTGCTGAATTTGAAACTATAGAAAGAATTATGGCTATAAAATTGAACGATCCTAATTATCACCCTACAGTTCCAATTCTTCCACCATATAAACCTGAATCGGTCAATGAAACTCAAGAACTTTTTGATTCTATACCCATTACTACTGATATTGCCATTTCAGAGAAAGCAAAGTTTGATGCTCTGCGTCATCTAGTAAAGAGAGTTCTTGCAATAATATAGCTGAAAAATCTGACACAAACTTATTGCAATTGTCTTCTTCAGTATCAATTCAAAATCAATCAAACGATTCTAAGGAATTTTCAAACATTACCAAAACTAAGATTGAAATACCTGAACCTTTGGTTTCTTTATCTTCAGAGTTTCTCATTAAAAACGAATCTGATATAGATACCCTTATCATTCTTTTACAACAAAAATTCCAAATGTCTAAAGAAAAATTAGAGCCAAGATTGCTTTTGAAATGTGAGATAACCAAAATTACTGGAAAAAAGAGTGTGAGAGTATGAATGAGGTTGCTTTCTTGGAATATAAACGAAATTTTGAGGCTAAAATGAAAGTTCCTACCACTCCACACAAAAAATAATTAAAAAATCGATCTTTAGCTCTTATCAAATACATATAACCTAGCTAAATAGTAATTTACAGAGCAGAGAGATTGCTACATTCAACTAGTTATATAAGGGGTTTTGGACATCTCTTACAATAAGTATAAGAAAAAATTCAAATAAAAAATTAATATTCTGATACCTGGATCATATAAGAGGTTTTTGTGCTGTAGAATTTTGGTTGAAATAAAGTTCTGGGTAAGGACTGTTCGGTCTTGGAAATCTGATATATGGGATAAGGTAAGTCATGTTACAAAATACACAAGATATTTGATGACCATTTTTGTGTTGCATAATTTTAATCGAGATATAGTTTCGGGTAAGTAATCGCATTGTAAAATATGTGTCAAAGACACTAGCTTCGCTATAATACATATGTGATAGTATACTTGGAGACAACTTATGTCAAAAAATTTTGGGCCACCAAAGTAAAATTATTATAGAAAGGCTATACTATACAAAAATTGTGCTTTGATGGGTCATATGTGATATATTTTTTTGGGCCACCAAAGTAAAACTATACTATGTACAGAAATTGTGCTTTGATGAGTCAGATATAATATACCTCCTATTATACTTTGATGGACCAAGTGAGGATATCATTTCGAGCAAAAGTACATATTATTTTGAGTAAAAAAAGTGGAACACCAAGGTATAATTATTACAGATATATATATAATAAAATTATGCTTTGGTGGGTCACCGAGTAAGGATAACAATTTGGCACTATGTGCCTCATCATTGGGTGATATTTGAATGAATTATGTGAAGCTAGCAACTGCTAACAATTCAGCACTATGTGCCTCATCCTCAATTGATATTCAAATGCATTATAACAGTTAACAATTTGGCACTACGTACCTCATCATTGGGCAATATTTGAATGAATTATACAAAGCTAACAATTGCTAGCAATTCGGCACTATGTGCCTCAACTCTGGTCCTCATCGAGGAATTAATCAGAAAGCTAAGGCACTACATGCCAGGTTCAGGCATAGCCCTCACATCGGGCTTGCAAATGATGAGGCAAAAGCAAAACGCATGCCACACTGGAATATGTCTCAGTGGCTCTTAAA